CTAGCTCGATCCTTAGTCTCACAGTCCGTACCTTGGTGACTGATTTGCTACATGGGAATAGAGAGGGAAAGTCAATGTCTCTTCAGAGATTTCACGTCTAGAGTAGTAAGGATAATGGTGGTCTAATTTGCACGTATTCCACCTGTTTCAATCCTGATTGGACCATATCCTGACTATTATTATTTCACCTTTTCTTGTCTCACTTTGCTCATGTGTGTAATGGAATAGCAGTAACAGCAGCGTCACAAGGGTGTTATGGAACTGAAATGAGATCATGTGAGAATGCCTCCTAAACTATAAATAGTGAAAATACGGGTCATTATTAGGGACAGACATAGAAAGGAGAGTTTATAATCATGATTTTGTTTTACAAAATATGTAAAAATATACATGTAAAGTGATGGTAGAGGCCACCACCACCTTCTGAGAAGAGAGGAAGCAAGAGAGAAGGCCATGACATCTGTCAACCAAGTTCTCCAGCCATGACACCCTGAAGCGCGTTAAAATGTTTGCCTGTGCCCCTTCTCTGATCCAATCTGGATCCAGAGTTGTGTACAGACCAATTTATTTTTATTATTTATTTTTATTTGATACATTTAATCACTATACATCACTTTGCTTTTAAGTCAAATTTACCCAACGTGAATATACTTCACACCATCCAGTAGAGGATACAAAACACATTATCATCAACAGATAATAACCCGTTTCTGTGTCCCTTAAATGTCTTGCCTCTCTATTTTCCCTCTTTAATTTCTTTCCTCATACTCTCCCCCTTCTCTCACTCTCTTCCCACATTGTCTCCAGATTCTATAACCATTTTTAATGTTTCTATGTCCTCTAATTTCTCAATTTCCACCATAGAATGTGGACAGTCTGTATATTGTTAAGTGGAGACATATGATATCTCTCTTTCATTGCCTAGTTTGCTTCACTCAGTAATAAATCTTCCACATTCGTCCAATTCCTATCAAATGCCAGGGTATTGTGTTTTATGGCTGAGTAGTATTCCATAGAGTATAAGTGCCACACTTTTCAATCCATTCATTTGTTCATGGACATTTGGGATGGTTCCAAGTCTTAGCAATTGTGAATAATGCTGCAACAAACACAGATGTACAAGCAAGCACTTTTCTGACTGAGTATTCTGCTATCCCTTGGGTAGATACCCAGGAGTAGAATTGCTGGATTATATGGTAGTTCTACTTGTAGATCTTTGAGAAATCTCCATATTGTTCTCCACAATGACTGTACCAATTTATATTCCCACCAGCAGTGTAGAAGGGTTCCTCTTTCACCACATCCCAACCACCATTTATCATTTATTATTTTTTTAATCTTTGCCATTCTGACTGAGGTTTGATGGTATCTCATTGTGGTTTTGATCTGTATCTCCCTTATGATGAGGGATGTTGAACATTTTTTCATATGCTTTTTGGCTGTTCATATGAAATTGTTAGAGAGTTGTTTATTCAGCTCATTTTCCCATCTTTTAATTGGGTTAATCATTTTTTGGGGGGGGAGGGAGATAAGCTGCTTATGTTCCCTGTGTATTCTGGTTATCAATCCCTTATCTGAGGCACAGTTCACAAAAATCTTCTCCCATTCCTAGGACTGTAGGTTCACACTACTTACTGTATCTTTTACCATTCAGAAACTTGTTACTCTGATGCAATCCCACTTGTCTATTTTGGGCATTTTTGCCTGTGCTTTCGGGGTCTTATTTAAGAAGTCTTTGCCTACTCCAATGTCTCCCAGAGTTTCCCTAGTGTTTTCCACCAGTAGTTGTAGAGTTTGAGTTCTTAGGTTTAGATCTTTGATCCACTTTGAGTTGATTTTTGTTACTGGTGAGAGATAGGGGTTCAGATTCATCTTTCTGCAGTTTTTCAAGCACCATTTACTAAAGAGATTTTTGTTTTCCACTGGATTGACTGGTACCTTTTATCAAAAATCAATTGGCTGTATGTTTTGGGGTTTATTTCTGGGGGTCTCTATTCTGTTTCATTGGTTCATATATATATTTTTGTGCCAATACTGAGCTGTTTTGATTATCACGGCTTGGTAACATATTTTTGGGTCACGGAGTGTGATGTCAGTCACTCCACCCTTCTTGGGCAGGATTGCTTTGACAAACAGGGTCTTTTATGATTCCAGACAAGTTCTGTGATTGTCTTTTCTAGATCTGTGAAAAAAGTCTCTTGTAATTTTATGGGGATTGCATTGGGTAGAATTGCTATTTTGATTATATTAATTCTCCCAATCCAGGAACAAGAGATGGCCTTCCACTTTTTTAGACCTTTCCAATTTCTCTTTTTAAAAGATTTTAATAGTTTTTCTTATAGAGGTCTTTGACTTCCTTATTAGATTTAATTTCAAGGCATTTTTATACTTTTTGTGGCTATGGTAGATGGGATTACTTTCTTTAGTTCTGCATGTCTGCTTGTTGTTTGTATGTAGAAATGCTATAGATTTTTGTAAGTTGATTCTGTTACTTTACTGTATTCATTTACTACTTTGAAAAGTTTCTTTGTGGATACCTTTGGGTCTTCTATGTATACAATCATGTCATCTGAAAATAGAGATAATTTCAACTCTTCTTTCCTTGTTTGAATGCCTTTTATTTCATTCTCTTGTCTGATCACATTGGCTAGGACTTCCAGCACTATACTGGACAGGAGAGGAAAAGCAGGCAGTCTTGCCTTGTAATAGTTTTTAGTGGAAAACCTTTCAGCTTTTAACATTCGGTATAATGTTAGCAATAGCTTTTTCATAGATGGCTTTTATTATGCTGAGAAATGATCCTTTTATGCTGATTTTACTGAGAGTCTTAATCATGAAGAAATGTTGTATTTTGTCAAATGTTTTTTCCTCATCAATTGAAATGATCATATGTTTTTTTTTTAAATTTTTTTCTGTTAATTTGGTATATTACATTTATGGTTTTGTGTATGTTGAACCACCCTTGCATCCCTGGAAAAAAGCCTACCTGGTCATAATGAATAATGTTTTTTATATGCTGTTAAATACAGTTAGCAAGTATCTTGTTGAGAAATTTGGCATCTATATTCATCAGAGATATAGGTCTGTAGTTTTCCTTTTTTATCATATCCTTATCTGTTTTGGGAATGAGAGTGATAAAGGCTTCACAGAATGAATTTGGAAGGGTTCCTCCATTTTGGATCTCTAGAAAGGACAAGTATAATGTGGGTTATCTCTTCTTTAAAAGTTTTGTAAAATTCAGCAGTGAAGCCATCAGGACCTAGACTTTTCTTTGTTGGGAGATTATTTATTACTGTTCAATCTCATTGCTTGTTACAGGTCTATTCAGGCTTTTTATGTCCTGAGTCAATCTTGGTAGATTATATGTGTCCAGGAATTTGTTTATATCATCCAGGTTTCTTCTTTGTTGATTTATAGTAGCTCATAGTGTCCTGTAATGATGTTCTGTATTTCTATTATGTCTGTTGTAATGTTGCCTGAACCATTGCAAATTTTTCCAGTTCCTTTCTCTCTTCTTCTTAATTAGTCTAGCTAATGGTGTGCCAATCTTGTTTATCTTTTCAAAGAACCAATTTTTGCTTTCATTTATTTTCTGTATGGTTCATTTAATTTTTTTCCATTTATTTCTGCTTGAATTTTTGTGATTTCTTTTCTCCTGGCATTTTTTGGGGGATTTTTTTTTGTTGTTGTTTTTCCAGTTCTCTGAGACATGATGCATATCTTCCACTTTTAACACTTTTAGACAGATGGCCTGGAAGGGAGATACTGGTATTTCAGTTCTCTGAGTTCTTTCAGCTTGTAGCAGAGTGATTAGGAGGAGAAGTTCCAAGTCAGACTGCTTGAGTGCAATTGGCTCCACTGTTTCCTAGTCACGTGGTCTCAAGTAAGATACATTTTAAGCTTCATTTTCTTCTGCGGAAATTGGGCTAGCAGTAGCACCTCCTTCATAGGACTATTACAGGGATTCAGTGACATGATGTGTTTAAGCGTTTAACAATGTGTCTGCAATATAATGAACCTCATATCTTATAGCTATTATTACTATTATTGTTGAGATAACTGTTTTTGAAGGGAAAGGAGGGTGTAAGTAACCAGTTCTTAAGTTTTCTCATAATTTTAATTGAGAACTGTTCAAGGTAATAACTGACTTTTCTGATGAGCTGTTCGATTAGTGAATTCAATTTTGAGGAGTTGATAAGCAATACAAAATTACCTCCATAGAATGTGCATGTGGGAGGAGGCTGTAATTCTTTTTTTCTTTTTTTTTTTGAGAGTTTTTTTTCTATGGGGTGCATGCACTTGCCAGAAAGACAGAGAGAGACAGAGAGATAGAAAGTGAGAAATCACCCCCCCAGGGGGGATGGCCATGCCACAAGCCCTTCTCCTCCATTCTCCTCTTGGGATCTTGGGCAAGCATGCATATGTTCCTGGTGTGAATTTAAGCCACCGGGTCCAGGACTCAAACTGCGGTCGACCACATGGGAGTTCAGAGACATAGCCATTATGCTAACTGCTGGTTCTATGTGATTCTTAAACCTAAAACTTATGTTTATGTCTGTGCAAAATAAAATGACTAATAAGAGGGGAAAAAAAGGAATTAAAAAATCAGTTCCTGCTTTGTTTTTGGTGGTACATTATCAGGAAGGCCTCTCTCTGAATAAAATGGATTATCTTCATTTTCCTCTCTGGTGGCTTTGTGGAGTCCATTTACCTCACTTTATCGCTGTGTTCCATGGAGCTGTCCATAAAAGCTTGACCCATCAATTACTCATGCCAGTCTACATACTAGCAACGAAAGGCTTTCTATTCATGTTCATGTTTTTTTCCATTTTTGTGCTCTCTTCCATCATTTATACTTACATAATTCTACTAATAGTGGTAATAGCAATAGATAAGATATTTAAGGTACACCATGTGAAATAAAGCCACTACCATTAAGGAATGCCTGAGTGTTCTTAGTGTTTTATTGTTTATTTTTATTTCTTTCTTCTTTTCTTTTCTTTTTTTTTTACATTTAATCACTGTTCATCTTCATAGCGCACAAAGTCAAATTCCCCATTAATACACTGCATATTAATTAGTCCATTCAAAAATATTGCTGAATACATTATCATCAGCAGATAATTTCCCACTTTTGTGTCCATTAAATGCTTTGCTTCTTTCTTTTCCCCAATTGTGAAGTTTTTATCAGCCTTCCTATCTTTCATTGTGAGAAGGTGAAACTTCAAGTGGAGTGTTCACAGGTATAGATTTTCGCATTAATCATGATTTGCCTTTCCAATCTATGCCAATCATAAACAAACCTGTCTTGCCTTCCTTTACCCTAGGTCTCCAAGAAATGTATAGATGAATGAAATAGCTATTTTTTAAAGCCTGGGTTAGATAAAGCTTAAAAAATATATTACTACTCTCTTCAGATATTCTTGAGTTTAAGGTATTAGAATACAGTCAATAGTTATGGACCAGGTTGCATGTCTGTCTCCGAAGCCTACATGTTGGGTAGATGATATCCAGTCTTCTCCTACCATAACCACTGAAATAAATGATCATTTTCCCATTTATTTATTTCCAGTGGAGACCCAGATTTCCTCTTTCTGTCTGTCTGAGCTGTTTACAAATTCCACTGGCTGAGATAGGACACGAGGTAAGGGTCTCTTTTCTTAACGCTTTCATAGAACAACTCCAGAGCCTCATCCCCTTTCTTTTCCACCATGCTCAGCAATATCTCATTCTTCTGCTGCCGGGTCTTTCCCTGCTCCACCAGATCCTTTTCATTTTCAGTGAGTACATTACTGTCCAGAAGATCATCCAGCACCCCATTCAGGTCTCCTAGCCTGACTTGGAGTTGCCGGTGGTGCTCCTTTACAAAGGCGGCACCTGGATGGAAAGAAGAACTTCATAATCAGAAAGGAATAGTTTCCATATGGAATTCAGGATACTTACTGAACAAAGAGTCATAGTTCTGGGATGGGATATTGTTCTTTGTCTTGCATCTGTAGCTAAACCTTACACATAAACACACCAGGCAAACGTTTTCAGTATTAAATAAAATTAGGTGCACTCAAATAACATATCTTCCTCAAATCCATTCCTCCTACCCAACTTCTGAGACAGCAATTGCTCCTAGTTTATACTTTTCATTAAAATATTATACAACTTCCATCTTCCTGGGTATTCCCATGCGAATCCAACAACCAAACAAAAACCTTCAGGCCCATACATTGCCAGAAGTTATGCATGATGCTAGATGTGAAAATAGACTAGCCTGGATCCCTGCCCTCAAAGCTCTTCTGATAGAGGGAGAAATTAACTGGATAAATATAAATGGAAGAAACAGGAAGCATTAGGGAAAATACATGGACATTTTCTATCATGCAGACTCAAAAGTTCATGTGGTTTCTATATTAAATAGCTGTTTTAAACTTGAAAATTTACATTGTTTTCCTTCAGCGTTTTCATTAAGAGAGGTTTTTTTTTTTTAAAGAATGATATATTTCATTTCATTTAAATATTATTATTATTATTGAATTTTCTGTAGGGTACATGTGCTCACCAGAGAGAGATGAGAGGGGGGTGTGGAGGGAAAGTGAGAAGGCAAGTCACCAGTCCAGGACTCGAACCATGGTTGTCCATGTGGAAGACCAGTGCCTTCACCACTATGCCACCTGCTGGCCCTCAAAAGAGGGATTTTTAAAGGCAAAATATACAGAAAACAAGAAATGGAAAATTATGTGTTGATAATAACACATATGTTGATGTGCTTGATTGAGCCAATATACAGTGTATTGTGAATAGAAAAATCTCATTTTGTATGCTATAATGATGTACAGTGAATGAATGTAAATAAATAAAAATAAATAAATAAATAAAAAATATGCAGTTCATGACTCTCAAACTTTTGTTACCCTTTGCTTTCAGTCTAAAGTCAAAATGTTCTGACTTTCATCTTTGGACTGTCAGCTTCTGGCTCTTGACTACCTTTCTAGTTTCATGCTGATTCTGTCCTTCTAAAAGTTTAATTTCCAGTCACGTCAAACTACTTTAACTTACAGACCCCCAGATGCATGATATTTATCACAATACTTTACTGTTGCAGGCTGTTTTTTTGTGTACATTCTGTTCTAAAACCCTTGTTTAGGTAAATCTTACTCATTGTTTGTCTCTTACATCAGTTGGTTTTCATAAGTGACAAAGACAGAAAAAATGAAGTCTCAGTGAATGATGTATAAGCATTCAAAGGTTCCCAATATCAGACATGTCCTTCTGGTTTCAGTGTAAATATTTACTAACCTGAGAAATCAGGAGGGACTGAGGCAAAATCAAGCTGGAGATCCACTGAGAAGGAAAAAAAAATGGAGGATGAGACAAGAGGAATGACATATATTACTTGGCATTTCTAGTTTTTTATACAACCAATTAAAATAATTTAATTCTATTTCATAAGAGAAAGATTACTTTTTTGCACATTAATTTTCCAATGAAACCCAATGAAGTACTGGGTCACTTACTGTCCATTAAAGAAAGATATCAGAGGAAGGAACATATTTTTCCAATATTCTTTCTACTTCTACTTGTAAGTCAATATACCAACTATGGTGGCTACAAAAATATTATGTCATACTGTCCTACATAAATTGTAGCTGAGGTAAATATGTTTTGACATAAAATGTCAACATTTGATGAGTAAATTAAAACATATTTTTAAACATGATGGTACCAGGACTATGGATAGTGCAGATACTCATAAGGTATCCAAAATTAGGGGACCAGCATAATGGCTATGTTGCTGGACTCCCACGTAGTCGACCGTGGTTCACGTCCCGGACCCGGTGGCTTAAACTCACGCCGGGCTCATGTGTGTGCATGCCCAAGATCCCGAGAGGAGAACGGAGGATAAAGGACTGCGGCGTGGCCATCCCACCGGGGGGTGATTTCTCGCTTTCTATCTCTCTGTCGCTCTCTGTCTGTCTAGCGAGAGCATGTGCCCTATAGCAAAATAATAATAATAATAAAAATAAAGTATCCAAAATGAGAAGACTTGCCAATTGGAGTAACTATTTTGGACAATAATTAAACAGTGCTTAGCATTAGGGCTTCAACACAATCTTAGACTTTTGTCTAAAATTCCTGATGTTTAAAGTTCTGATGCACTTTGGGGCTGCTCCTTTGGCAGCAGCTCAGTCTTCATACATGCCAATGCAGAATGACTAACTTTCCTGTAGCCTGTGAGGTCCCACAATAGAGTTTCTGGTCCCTTAACTTCAGAGCAGAACATCAGCTACCTTGGACCACTACACTCATCCAAAACTCCAGCTATTCACCACCTCTCTATTTTATCCAGACCTTTCCTATTAAGAAACCAGTATGTTCTTGAGACCTGACAAAATCTTATTTAAATTAAAGAAAAGTAAACAATGTAAAAAACATTCCTGTGTTTAATGAGCTATAGAGAGTGCGACGGTATTTACTAAAAATACAAGAAGGGTTCTTCCAAAAGTTCATGAAAATGCACATGATGAAAATCATGCATTGATTTTGAAAATGCTTGTACCAAATTAAATTCATACACGAATTCTATTTTTCCACAGACTTTTTTGGCCCCCTTGTATGTATTGAATGTTTATATGAATTAGACACCATTCTAGACACTGAGGAAGCAAGCAGTGGGGAACAGGATATCTGCACCATTTCTTCCCTTATAATAAGCCATAAAGACCACCCAGAAGTCACACAGGTAAGTTCCGACCAACTGAGATGCGGAGGCATTTTATAGAATGTGGAGATGAGGCCTGAGACGGCTAAGTGTCATTCAACCCTAAAATGTACCTGGAGCCTCTACGTCCAACTCCCACCCAAGCACACAACATAAACAAGAGGGCAGTTTGCCCAGGAAAGAAGAGACATAGTCATGAAGCTGATCTCCAACTCTCTGGATGCTGCTGTGGAGAAACAAGGAGATGGAATTATGAAGACTCAGTTGGAGGAATAGGACAATGAGGGGCAAAGAGTTAACACCATCAACAATGTGACAGTCCCTTCCTAAGCAACTGAAATACATCAGCAGATGTAGGCCAAACCCATTTGGAATTGCTGCCACAGATCCCATCTGGACTTACACATTTGTTCAACTATTCCCCTGTTCCTGGGCATTCACATCTCACCCCCACCCCCTCCAGTACAAGCAGTGCTTCCAAGAACACCACTGCCTACTATTAGGTTGTGGGCAAAGTCATGATGTATTTTTCTATGCAAAAATGTTTAATGACTCTCCCAACAACCCAGTATTTCCCTGCATACAGGTGCTTTTATTTTATTGTAGAGATTTTTTAAAGTAGTTTTATGTTAAAGGGACAATTTTTTATTTTTGGGGAGGTTTTTGCTATAGGGCGCGTGTGCTCACCAGAAAGACAGAGAGAGACAGAGAGACAGAAAGACAGAAATCACCCCCAAGGGGGGATGGCCATGCTGCAATCCCTTCTCCCATTCTCCTCTCTGGATCTTGGGCTCACATGCACACGCACCTGGCGTGAGTTTAAGCCACTGGGTCCGGGACTCGATCTGTGGTTGACTACATGGGAGTCCAGCGACATAGCCATTATGCTAACTGCTGGAAAGGGACAATTTTTAAAACTATGTTTAAAATATGTTTTAACTATTCTTGGTAACATATTTTTGGGTCACGGAGTGTGATGTCACTCACTCCACCCTTCTTGGGCAGGATTGCTTTGACAAACAGGGTCTTTTATGATTCCAGACAAGTTCTGTGATTGTCTTTTCTAGATCTGTGAAAAAAGTCTCTTGTAATTTTATGGGGATTGCATTGGGTAGAATTGCTATTTTGATTATATTAATTCTCCCAATCCAGGAACAAGAGATGGCCTTCCACTTTTTTAGACCTTTCCAATTTCTCTTTTTAAAAGATTTTAATAGTTTTTCTTATAGAGGTCTTTGACTTCCTTATTAGATTTAATTTCAAGGCATTTTTATACTTTTTGTGGCTATGGTAGATGGGATTACTTTCTTTAGTTCTGCATGTCTGCTTGTTGTTTGTATGTAGAAATGCTATAGATTTTTGTAAGTTGATTCTGTTACTTTACTGTATTCATTTACTACTTTGAAAAGTTTCTTTGTGGATACCTTTGGGTCTTCTATGTATACAATCATGTCATCTGAAAATAGAGATAATTTCAACTCTTCTTTCCTTGTTTGAATGCCTTTTATTTCATTCTCTTGTCTGATCACATTGGCTAGGACTTCCAGCACTATACTGGACAGGAGAGGAAAAGCAGGCAGTCTTGCCTTGTAATAGTTTTTAGTGGAAAACCTTTCAGCTTTTAACATTCGGTATAATGTTAGCAATAGGTTTTTTATAGAAGACTTTTATCCTTCTATGCTGATTTTGCTGAGTCTTAGTCATACAGGGATATATTTTGTCAAATGCTTTTTCTACGTCAATTGAAATGATCATTTTATTTTTATCTTTCTTTCTGTTAATATGATGCATCACATTTATGGTTTTGCATATGTTGAACCACCTTTGCATCTCTGGAATAAAACCTAACCGATCACGATGAATAATCTTTTTTATATATTATTGGGTGTGACGAGCACTGCATACGGAAGCCATCTTGAGCTATCTATCATCTTGAGCTATCTGCCATCTTGGAAACCATTAGGCTTCACTAACTCACTGAGCAAACCGTCTTTCAGAAATCATGTGACCAACCATTCTCCCCAGAAGTGGTTGGGTTTCTAGGCAACGGGAGAGATCCACCCACATCAATGATTGGTTCATGCTGTTCTATCTCATTTGCATTTCGGGCAACCAATTGGTTCCCACCAGCTACATATAACTCGCCATTTCTCCTCAATAAACGGAAGTAGACGGAAGAAGACGACTTGACCAGCACCTCGTATTGTGTGTGCGTGTGTTTGTCCCATCTCTCACTCCCCAAGGAACCTGTTCAACTGTCCCGCGGGCTGGGACAGTTGGGTACGATTTGCTAGTATCCTGTTTAGAATTTTTGCATCTATATTTATCAGAGATTGTGGTCTGTAGTTTTCCTTTCTTGTCATATCCTTATTTGTTTTGGGAATGAGGGTGATGGAAGCTTCGTAAAATGAATTTGGGAGGTTCCCTTCCTTTTGGATCTTTAGAAATAATTTGAGAAGAATGGGGATTACTTCTTATTTAAAAGTTTTGTAGAAATCAGAACTGAAGCCATCAGGACCCGGACTTTTCTTTGTTTGGAGGTTATTACTGATGCAACCTCAGTGCTTGTTACAGGTCTATTCAGGCTTTCTATGTCCTCCTGAGTCAATCTTGGTAGATTATATGTGTCCAGAAATTTGCCCATATCATCCAGGTTTTCTTGTTGATTGAGGTATAGTCGCTCTAAGTATCCTCTAATGATGTTTTGTATTTCTATTGTGTCTGTTGTAACATTGCCTATTTCATTGCAAATTTGATTTATTTGGTTCTTTTCTCTCCTTCTTAATTCGTCTAGCCAATTGTGTGTCAATCTTGTTTATCTTTCCTAAGAATCAGCTTTTGTTTTCATTTATTTTCCATGTTGTTAATTTGTTTTATTACTCCTCAAATCTTTATTATTTATTTTCTCCTGGCATTTTTTGGATTTTTCTGTTGTTGTTTTTCCAATTCCCTGAGGCATGATGTTAGGTTGTCTATTTGTTACTTCTCCATCTTTATCTCAAGTGTACTAATTGTTATGAACTTCCCTCTTATGACTACTTTTGCAGTGTCCCAAAGATTATGAAAACTCATACACTCATTATCATTTGTTCCCATGAATCTTTTGATTTCAGTCTTAATCTTTTTGGTAGTTGTGACGTCATTCAGGAGTAGGTTATTTAGTTTTCATATATTTGTGTATTTTCAAGAGTTTTTCCTGAAATTGATATCAAGTTTAATTCTATCATGGTTGGAGAAGATGCTGGATATAGCTTCTATGCCTTTGAATCTGTAAAGGTTTGTTTTGTGCCCTATTATGTGGTCTGTCTTCGAGAAGGTACTATGTGGGGTGAGAAAAATGTGTATTTTGTAGTTTTGGGGTGGAAGGTTCTATAGATGTCTGTCAAGTCCATCTGATTGATGGTATCATGTAGATCCTGAATACCTACTTATTTTTTTGTCTCATTGAACTGTCTAAAGAAGATAATGGGGTGCTGCATTCCCCAACAATTAGTGTGGGAAATCTTTCTTTCCTTTTAGATGTAGCAGTATTTCCTTTGCATATTTGGGTGCTCCTAAATTAGGTGCATAGATATTAATAAATATTATATCTTCTTGATAAATTAGCCTTTTTTACTATTATATAATATCCTTCTTTGTCTCTTCTTATAGTTTTTGTCTTAAAGCATATTTTGTCTGAGATTAGTATCATGACTCTTGCTTTTTCCTTGGTTTCCATTGCATGGAATATCTTTATCCAGCCCTTCACTTTTAGTCTATGCATGTCTTTTCCCATGAGGTGGGTTTCTTATAGGTAACAGATGGAGAGTTTCTGCTTTTTGTTTTGTTTTTATCCATTGAACCAGTCTGTGTCTTTTGATTGGAGAATTTAAGCCATTAACATTCAACGATATTATCAACATTTCAGGACTGGCAGGATTGGTCCTTCCTGTTAAGTTGCCTATTTTCTTATTTTTTTTTCTCTTTCTCATTTTTGTCCGTCAGTCTTTAGTTTTCTTGGTATAGCACTCCCTTCAGAGTTTCTTAAAGAGCTGGTCTGGAGTTGGTGAATTATTTCAGATTTTATTTATTCAAGAAT